TTTCTGATTTACAGCGGCTCCGCATTTTACGAAATGCCAGGTCATCTTCTGTCTCCTGCAGTCAACTTTTTGAAAAAAGTTGAGACCTCTTTTCCAGAAGACGCCGAATCCTTTTAGATAGCCTGCGGCTCATCAGATTGCGTGCTGGTTTTTTTGGGACGAACATCGCGTCAGCCTCGTGAACCTTCTGGACAATGGTCCTATATAAGTGTGGAGCTCCATCCAGGAGGACTTTGGGGCGTTGAAGTCATCTACCAGTAGGGTATAGGTGAAGTGGTAGCTGGAGGAGAGTTGCTCAAGTGTTGGTATGAGGAATTGGTCATCTTCAGAGGGAATCGAGGGGCTACGGTAGACCACACCGAGAAGGAAGGAATCGGATCCGCGCAGCGGGATTTGGATCCATAGTGCATCGCAAAAAGGTGCAGGAGTGGTGCCGGAGAGGACAATCGGGATGGGCAGGGCCGCATGTAAGTACAAACCAAACCCACCAGCCCTCCCTCGTTTTCAGTGTGCTCGAAAAATAGAGTGGCTGTCTATCAAGATCTCCGCGTCAGAGGCATCTGGTGTGAGCCAGGTCTCTGTGAGTGCGATTATGGACAGCTGTTCGAGGCAAGCTGACTGTTTAATATCGCAAAAATTGTTGAAAAGGCTGAGGCAGTTTGTGGACAAGAATTTCAACATTGTCTCTGCTGCATCCAAGAGTGAGGAGCCTAGAGTTGGTGACCAGGGCAGTCAGCAGATTTAATAGTTGGCTCCAGAGGGGCCTCTGGGGCATACTCGTCTGATTCCTGTCTTGGTGGTTTTTGGGGATTGTTTTCATTTGCAGTTTTTTCGCCCCGTGGGAGCCCGATTCGCTCGGGCCTTCTACCTTTTGGGGACGAAGTTTTTTCCCCGGGGGCGGAAATTTCGACCATTCCTACTTGTAGCTCTTTCAATAGCACCTTTTGGACGACCAGATTTGCTGCTGATGAAAGATTTGGGGCAAACTTTCGTCTGTTTGGTTTCTTGGGCGTTTTGGCGCGGTTTGATCGGAAAGGTGTCTGTGTGAGGCCTTGAGCGCTGGGTGGCGGCACCAAGAAGTAATTATTTTGGTGGCGCTCCCATGAGACTCGTTTTCGCAGAGGACTCTACCTTGAAGCCAGCCAGCAGTTTTCTGATTTAGCGAATTTCATATGGCTTGTTTGGCTGTAGTCACTCTTCTTTCGTGTTTGTGTGGACACCCGATCCGCCAGCGACCAGCGTGGCCAACTGGATGTACGAGGGATTTTCCGGTTCGCCGTGGTCAGGTTTGTGGCTTTGGCTGTCGGGGTCCTGGGCGACGACTGTGTTCACAAGCAAAGAGTGGAGCTGGGGATTGGCAGTTTTACATTCTCAGTGGTGTACGGTTGTCGCAGCATTCTCCGATGTCGAGGTCAACGCATGTGGTTGATTTGTCGGTGGGCTTCGCTGCTTGTCCCCGCACATCTGACTCAGTCCGGTTCAGAGGCTGTGGCTTTGGTGAGGAGTTTACTGCTGCACCCTTGCCCGTCTGTTAGAAAAGAAGCGCTGATAGCTCTACGTACTTTGGGCGCTGCTTCCACGTGAGGCTTGCCTCCTCCAGAGCATCACTGCCTTTGGTGGGCGAAGGGTCTGTGGTGGTCGAATAAAAACTGCTGTCCGGAGACGCGGCCGGTTGCTTCGGCATGCTTTCGGGAGCACAAAGGGCTATGGCCACAATCGGCTTGACCATGAGTTTGAGATCGGCTGAACTGGCGCCAAGTGGAATCCTGTTTTGCGCCTCTACCCTTGATCTGTTGTGACTCAGCTTTCGCGCGTCTAGAGGGCGATCCTCAGATAGACTCCTGATCATTGGGTAGGCCTTTTGAATGCTGCCAGCCCGCTCCAAGATCTTCCGTACGGCAAATGGGGAGGAAAGGGTGACTAGAGGCCCAAGTTTTCTATAGAGGAAAATGTCGGTAGCTCAGGTAGCGTGGATGGTGGTCGTTGGCTTGTTCGCCGAGCTGGGCAATTTGATTGCAAACGTTCCATCACCAATAGAGGTGAAATCAGTGCGTTATTGTGGAGCGTAGTAGCGCGTAGCGGTGGGTTGGTGGTTGTGCACAACCTAGTGTTCGCTTGCTTCCCTTCTGGTAACCATTCTGCGCGAAGCGATTGGTGATCAGGCTTAGGGAGGACACTACTAAGGACCGACTGTGCCAGCTTCGTTGGCGTGATTTTTTCGGAGAATCACCCCCAGATTATCATTCTGCTCTCCCCTAATTGCTTGTCTACTAAAGGCGCTGTGGCGGTCTTTACTGCCGCGTCAGAGAGCTGGATGACTTTCCTCGCAGCCAGCGGACCCGGGATGGATAGCGCGAGGTACTCGTTCAGTGAAAAAAGTTCTTTATCAACTTTCGTCCTGGTCGCTGCGTTCTTTACGTTTGCATCCTCCAGCGCTTCAGAAAAAAGCTCCAGTTTCGCGTTGAGTATCCCGATCAAAGCAGAACACACACCGGTCTTTCTGATTCAGCAATGGGGATTGGGTTTCGTCTTTGGTGGCTCTCTTCTTAGCTGCGGTATGCATTGCACCCTTAATTTAGAGGCAGTTGGTTTAGACAAACGGGTGAGGAGAGTTAGCTAATTGGCTTACCTGGTTGTCCTGTAAACCCGTGCATTTAAAGTGCCACCAGGCCTCATTGTTGTGGCATTGCATACCGCGTCTTACGTTCGACGGACAGCCATTTTGCCCACATCTGTTGTGGTCCATCGATGACTGCAGAGAGCAGTCTGTATTCATGAATGTCATGATTAAGACTGGGCGCAAAATAGGAACTGAACGCAAAATAACAGGGGTTATCACCTAAATGTTATGTTAGAGTGAGAAGATTCAACAAATGACTCGTGTGTATTCTGTGAATAGAT